GCCCGCAGCGCCTCCCCCGGGCTGCCTGGCGCCTGCTGCGCGCAGCGGAGCCCGTTGCCTTGGTGACCGAGCTGTCCAACTCCCGCGGCTGGCGCTACGGAGGCTCAGAGGGGACCAGGGGGCTTCGCGTTCCCTTCCTCAGCCCCAGAGCGGGTTGAGGAGAGGCCCCGGGTGGGGAGTCGGGTCTCTGAGAGGTAAGCGTCCCAAGTGGGGTTCAGCAGCCTGGAACTTGGCCCTTGGATGAGAGGGAGGGATGGAAGGGAAAGCTGGTGGTTGGGGCGCTAAGCCGAGGGGACGGACCTGTGCCTGGGACGCTGCCGGTGCCTCAGTTTATCAGTCTGTAACCCAAGAGTGGGACCGTGCGGGGGTGAGGTCCAACCAGAGGCTGAAGCTTGGTAGACTGGAAATATTTAAGAATAGTTGAACTTCAGAAAGCTCAGATGGCAAAGAATGAATAAAGTTGTTTCTTAGGGCTCAAGGTGAGAATCAGATCGCCAGGTTTGATTTCAATACAGGAAATGAGTTCACCGACGATCTGCAACTATACTTCTTGGAATAATCCTGCAGATACAGTAGAACCTGAGCACAGGATAATCGCTGCTCCATTGTTCATAGAAGCAAAAAGGACTGAGTCCAGTCTGAATGCAGTCAGCTGAGGAGTGAGTAAATAAATTATGATGCAACTGTTCAAAAAGCCAAAATCACAAAGTTAGAAACCTAATTGACTTTATTAAAAGGTTCATGATTCATGCTTCGGGCAGCATCCCGTAGAAACCCTTCAAGAGTACACAAAATGGAGGGTATTTATAGACAGAAAGGGGGTGGGGCTAGGTTATTAGCAAAAGAAAAGATTATTGCTGGTAAAGCCACCTTCTCTCAGGGGCTAGCAAGCCCTAGCTCAATGGTGTTGATTAGGAAGCTTGAACATGGCTGTATTAGGATCACACTTTTGGGAGAGGTTGATACTGTCCTAGGTATAAACCTGAGTGGGGGTATGGCATGAAAAACTCCATTTTGGGTCTATTTTTTGTATTTTTAATATATCAGTAACATGGATCACTATAGCAGAAACTGAGAGACCCAGGTAGCTGTCGATGTAACTTTGGTTCAAACAGACCTTCCAGGTCTGCCTACAGCAATTATCTCCCAAGAAGTCCCTCCTTGCTTTTACTCTTACCTCCAACCTGGCCCCAGTCTATTCACCCAACATCCAAAAACAGTGCTTCAAAAATTTGCACTAGAGTCCTTCTGCTCAGAACCTTTCAAAGCCTTCCCACTTAGAATGAAACCTAGTCATCACCAGTGGGGGTTCTTGGGTCCCTTTGACAATGAATTCAGCAAAGTCATCTTAACCGCTACATGGCAGGTTTGAGAAAAAGAGACTCAGACACTAGCAGTTAAAGGCTGTGTGTTCAAAAACGACAGGGTGCCTTTTATATAGTCTTTGGAATGTCTCCCTTTGTTCTTTGGAGCTGGGTTGGTTTGTTGTAAGGATGTACTATTTCTGCACTCCCCAACCTCTGGTTCCTGGTCAAATGAAATTTGCATAGCAGGTTTTGAGGACTATGTGAGTCATCCCTCTCCCTGCTCCTGCCTCTTCCAGGAGGCTGGCAGGCTAGGCAGCTGGCAGCAGGCAGCAATCCATTCATCAAGGTGTCGGGCTTTCCCTGCAGGGTGCTCTCTGAAGCAATCAGCAGGTTTGTCTCTGATGCCACCATCAGCCCCAGAGGGACACAAAAAGTTTTATTAGGGATGTGGCATGATCAGTGTATCAAGTTCCCAGCACTGTGTTTGGAGCCAGTTAATGGTTAGTCATGGGGAAGGGGCATAAGGGGTGCAAGTCAGTGATTTCAGTTATTCCAAAACAGAATATAATTCAGTGGTCAGAGTTTCTTATTCCTCATTATTTTTTAGTCTGGGTGAGGGTTTCTATTGCCAAATGGAAGGACTCCTACTACCATCACCATGATCAGCTAGCATCAAGGACTGATCTCTGGATCCCTATCAACTTCATCCTTTGTTTTCTCTCGTCCAGTCTCCAGTTTGTATGTGTGTGTGTGTGTGTGTTTAATTTATTTATTATGCATACAGAACTGGGGTACAGGCCAGAGGTGCAGGGGCAATGAGAGGAGTCACCAGAGACAGCGTGTGGAGCAGAGCAGGTAGATTGATGAGGTACACTGTGGAGAGGAGCAGCAGGTGAGACAGGAGAGGTCTGCTGCGCCATGTGGGTCAGTGCTGGGGATCGAACTCAGTGCTGAAGCTGCTATGGCTTGTTTGTAGTGCTGCGCTTTAAGCTGTTGCACCACCAGGGAGGGCCCAGCCTTATGGTTTTGAAGTCATGCATGCTTCTGTCTTCAGGCGCTTCTTCTTGCTGTCCCAATGAGGGACCATTCTTCCTCCAGAGAGTCCTATCTGCTACCTAAGGACTTAGAAAGTCCTTTCTCTGCTCAAGCATCAGTTCTTCAAGAAGACCTGCCCTCAGTTTAAAATAGCCAACCCCACCAACTCTGTATTTGCTCCTGCTTTTTTTTCTTCTTTCTTTTAATCCATCATCAGCGCTTTTGTCAATATCTGATATTGTACATTTATTGCTTGTCTCTTGTCCTACAGTTGAAACTCTTTTAAGGGCAGACATTTTGTTTTGTTCCCTGCTGTTTTATCATCTCTGGGAACAGAGCCTGGGACATAGTAAGAACTTGGTAAATATTGAATGAATGAATAAGTAAGTGAAAAAAGCAATGTGCAACACCATGTGGTTGGAATGCTACCATGTGTGGGAAAGGGGTGATAGATAATATGTACAATGCAGACATATGCTTATACGAACTCTGGAAGGAGATCTGGGACCTGCTGCAGGATGGGAGAGGGGTGGTAAGATAATCACATTTTCATTGTAGTTCTTTTATGCAACATAAAAAAAATAAGTCTCATCCAGGGGCCTCCCTGGTGACACAGTGGGTTAAAGTGCAACACTATGAAGCTATCAGCGGCCACTGCAGCAGGAGTTCGATCCTCGACCAGGTAAGTGACCCACATGGCACAGCAGACCTCTCATGTCTCGCCTGCTGCAGTGTATGTCAGTACATCTACCTATTCTGCTCCCCACTCTGTCTCTGGTGAATCCTCTCATCCCCTGCAACTCTGGCCTGTACCTCAGTCCTTATATACATAAATAAATCTTAAAAAAAAAAAAAAAAAGAAAAGTAGAACCAAGCAGAATTAAATACTAAGTACTTATGATGCAGTTATAAATGACTGGTCTCTCAGATAAGCATTAACAAGTCAGTCTTCCTCCTATCTCTAGCGATTTCCCCCCTTGTTTGATAGGTTTGTCTTCTTGCTTTCCAAGAAAAAGGGAGTTAAATAGCAGTTGTTGAAAAAGCAGCTGGCGCCATCCTGCAGCTCCTGCTCACCTCTCCCCCTCCCTTTGCCAACATTGCCCATCTCCCTCTTTGTCCCCTTTTGTATAAATAACCCTGCACTCTGCCAAAGAGCAGGGCAATGGTCTTTCAGACACAAGTTTGCTGCCCTCCTCAGTTTGTCAACAAATTAACTTACTTTCCTTCTCCTCAAACTGTTCCCTTTTATTGGCTGAGGGAAACTGAGGCCACATTCATTATCAGACTTAATAATACCTTTTGCAGTTTCAGCCTCACCCAAAAGTGTGACTCTAAACCAGAATTCAGTCTGAACTTCCCTCACCAGCACTAGTGAGGTCATCTGACAAGATACACCCCTGAGGCTTTACCTGAAACAATCTTTTCCTTTGCTAATAACTTAGTCCCATCCTCTTTCTGTCTATAACTACACTTCATTTTGTGTAAATTCCTGAAGGGTTTCCATGGGATGCTGCCTAATGCATGAATCTTTTTATAAATTCAGTTAGATCTCTAACTTGTAAATTTTGCTTTTTAAGAGAATATATTTCAAAGATTCCAATTTGAAACAGGATTTTCTCACTCTGCCTTTCATAATTACTTAATGTCCTGCTCATTCACCCTTAGATTCTTTCATTTACCCCAAATGGTATTATATATCCCACGTTTTAGGAAATAATGCCCATCTTCTCCTGACAAGCTTGGACTCATCCTTAAGTTCTCAAATTAAAACCATAGTCTTGGGTCCTCCCGGGTGGTGCAGCGGGTTAAAGCACAGCACTGAGAATCTAAAGCCACTTCCGCATGAGTTCGATTCCCGCCTGCCCTGGAGGAGATCCACATGGCGTGGCAGACCTCTCCTGACCCGCCCGCTGCTCCCCTCAGCAGTGTACTTCATCGATCTGCCTGTTCTGCTCCCCATTCTGTCTCTGGTGAATCCTCTCGCTGCCCCTGCCTCTGGCCTGTACCCCAGTTCTGTATGCATAAATAAATAAATCTTTAAAAAAAAAAACAAACCATAGTCTTCATCTTTCTCCTTCACCCTTAAGTTCTCAAATTAAAAATTAAATATAGTCTTACAGGACTTGCCCCTCACATACAGCTAAGTGACTTTCCCAAACATAGTAGACATTAAATAAACATTTATTGAAATATTCCCTCACACTATTTCGTCATAGAATTAACTCAACACAACATGTCACGGTGCTTTTATGCTCATTGTCAGTCTCTTTTAGGCCACAAGTTATTGTGTGCTTCTGTAGCCTACATCTTGACACATAATGGGCTCCAAGTGAGACCAGCCAGGCCAGGGGTAAAGCCTTACAGCGGGAGCAGCCCCAGTCCGGTTTAGCCCCGCCCCCTCACGCCCACACCGGTTTAGCCCCGCCTTACCCCTCGACAGCCCTGGACTTAGCCCCGCCTCCCCTCGAGCCCGAGCCATCCTAGCCCCGCCTCCCACCTCGGCCTCAAGCTGGTTTGGCCCCACCCGGTTAAGTTCCCTCAACCAATGACAGGTGTCGTTTTGGCTGCGGCGCCGGGAGCTGGGCGGGGCCACGCGGTGACGCACTCGGCGCGTTTCTGGCCTGAGAAACCGTCGCGTTTCTGGGGAGACACCTCAACAGCCAGTTACCACCGCGCCCGAAGCCTGCCGACCGGCCGCCTCCATTACCACCGCCACCATGGGGGCTGTGCTGGGCGTCTGCTCCCTTGCCAGCTGGGTGAGTTTGGGGTCTGGTGTGTCAGCCGAACCGGCGGCTTGGGAGAGAGCCACGGGGAACCCCAAGTCCAGACACGAACGGCCCTTGAACTCGGAGGATCGCGGCTGCGGAGGACATCCCGGAGCTGCAGGGCGTAGTCGGCTGCCGAGGCCAGAGCCGCGGGCCCCCGGGTCGGGACCCAGCAGCTCCCCTTTCTTGTTCGTGGGGGGACGCTGGAGGCCTGACCGCCATTGTTTACAATTTCCTTCGCCCCGCCCCCGCGAGCCTTCCGGCCCGGGTTCCCCTGGAGCTGGCAGGGGAGCTGGAAATGGGAGTTGCCGGGCCAGGGCCTCTCTGGCTCCTCCAAGCTACCTTCTTAAGGTGGCGCCCTTAGGTTTAGGGGGGCTTGAATAATATTTGCATCCCTTAGCATGGAATCTGTCAGAGCTACAGTGTGTAACAGAGCTGGGATCTTAATCGAGGCCTGTGTGCAGTTCTGGCTCAAGGGGAAGGAGGCCTTGTGGAGAATTCAGAATTGGAGGCGATGGCCGCAAGGTTTTGGGACCCGGTACAAGTCATGTGTCTCTGACTGCCCATAAGCTCTCTCCAGCATTCCTAGCCACGAGTGCGCTTAGGAGGATAAAATAAGTAAATGGGTTGAATCATTTTGTAGATTGTAAACGTCTTTTAAAAAGGACATTTTAGGGTATGTGAAGGAAACTGTATGCTGAGTTCTCCAGTATAGCCGCTTTAGAGGAGCTTAAGTCCTTGAGCTCATTCTTTTGTTTCCTAAGTCCCAGTCCTGAGGTGACCAAGGACTCAATTTCAGTTCAGTCCACTATCGTTTTCTGGGAACGGAGAATATTTTCCATCCTTTTGATTGTTGATCTTAAATGGAAAGGGCACTTGGTTATAGTTTCCTTGAGAGCACTAGCTTTCCATTTTTTTAGTTGGACCTGAGGTGAGAACTTTTGTATAGTAGATTTAACCCTCATTTAGATGCCATGAAATGATTCTTACTGTTATTATCTGCGATATTAAGTGTTTCTTTTCACATTTAAAAAGGTCCTGATCAACTGATATTTACAGTCCACTACTGAGATAAGCTATTTGCAAAATAGGTTTAGAAGTGAATTGATAATAATGAACAAAGGTAATTTTCTTACCCTGATAACCTGAAACACATTTTGACTTTGCTGTAACTGACTTGAATTGATGCCATCAAAGCACTTACACATATCTATTGCTTTTATACTTTATTAATACTTGTTGTTAAGGAGTTTGGAATGGAATGAAGGAATGGAGGAATAATAGACCTGAAGGCAAAAGAGTAGGTATCATTTGTATGGTCTAAGTAGGCTTGTCTCTTAAGTGATATGAGAACCAGTACAGAAAAAGGGAATGATGTGATCTGACTTCTGTTTTAACAGGGTTGCTGGAGTATAGATGATGGGAATAAAAGGATAAAGCAGCATAGAAGAAAAAAATATTCCTTTCTACCTTTGGGATTACTAGTTGGGGGTTTGTGAACTGAAAAGGATGAAAGACATGCCAACAAGAGAAAAGAGAACTTAGGTATGTGTGCTGTGCCACACACAGATATTTGGGGGTCCAGTAGGTGAGGGTATTGTAGAGTTTAATATGGAGGAGAGACTTCTACAGAAAGAACAAAAAGGTTTCTTTAGGAAAAACTAACGGGCTTTAAGAATAAACAGGAAACAACGCTGTTTATCTAAGTACAGATGTCTTCTTTTTGTTGACTTCATCTCATGAAATTCCCGAGGGGAAAATTTATGACCTCTACCATCCCAGAAGTTGCTGCATTTAATCAGATGAGGAAAGCTCCAAGAAAGCTTTTTCTTCCATTTGTTGACTCGCAGATGTTTTCCTCTTGATCATCTTTATGCCAACTCTGGGCTTTTACTGGGTTGCTATAGTAGTGAGATAGGACCTAGGGCATTTAGTCTGGATGAGATGATAGTAGTGACCTGGACTATGGAGATAACTAAGGATGCTGTGAAAGAGGTAAGATTCTGGATATACAGGGAAGTGACAGAGTATCAGGACCTGTGCAAGAAGTATCACCTTGGGTGGTCCCCCCTTGAGGTACTGTGCTCGGTGCTAGTGACAGTTATTTGTAAATAGGTGAATTAATTTGCCAGCATTAATTTGCCAGGTGACTAGGTGACTGAAAATGTGCTAATAGTGCCAGCAGCAGGAAACTGAGGCTGAAGCCATGTCAGCAGGGTTGGTTCATTCCCCTACCCTCACTCCTGGTGCTGCCAGCAATCGGGAGTATCTCTTGGTTTGTACATCTCTACCTTCCTCTTCACGTGGTAATCTCCAGTGTTGTACATCTGTCTGGTGTCTCCTTTTTGTGACACTAGTCACGTTGAATCAGGTGCCCAATCTCCTGTAGTATAGCATGGCTTCTAACAAAACAGCAGTATTTCTAAATAAGGTCCCATTCTGAGGTGCTGGGAGTTAGGACTCCAAGGTATGACTGTGGGAGGGAAACACAGTTCAGCCATGACAGACAGTAGGCAGTTATGAGATTATTTAACTGAAAAGGACAAATAGGTAAAGGGGGTCAGAGTATAGAGTGCAGACAGTATAAGCCTGAGGTAAGTAATAATATTTTTGACTGTAAAATGTCTGTATTTGTATCTGTGGCAGATACTTCTGTTATGGTCTTTGGGCCAAATTGTAGTTAAGAAGTAGAGGCAGAGGCTGGGTGGTCAAATTTCCGTGGCTGGTGCTATTAAAATTGTAAAGGCTTCTATGATATACTGAGCCCTATCTGACACTCTAAGTATGATATATTCCTGATACTAGTTCAGTTCTTCACCCAGCAATGCTGCTTTGGGTAGATGGTGTTATGCCCATTTTACAGATCAGAAATCCGGTCTTAGAAGTTTAGCAACTTGCTCCAAATTAAATAAAGCCATGGTAAACGTCAAACAAGATGTCATTTTTTACAAGTAAACATTATTACTGAGCACCTAGAATAAGACTAAAGTCCTCATTGTTTGTATCTGCTGAGTGATTCTGAATTAGTCTTTCCTTATAATGTGACTTGATCATGTACCCTGTCAAAGCAATTCAAGAGATTCCCGAATACGTATGTATAGGTGTGACTCAGATTATATCCTCTCATGCCTGGAATGTTCATTAGTATATTTTAGCTCATCAGAGATCTAGGTTACTCTTTAAAAATTAAAAAAAAAATTTTTAAAGTAACAGTCATATAACTTAAAATTAGCCAGTGCAAAGTGTGCAGTTTGGTGGCCCTAGTGCAGTCCCCGTGTTACGCTGGGTCCTGTCTGCCTCACTCCAGAACGTTCTCATCGTTCCCTGAGGGAACCTGAGACCCACTGAGCCTCACACCACTCTCTCCCTGTTCTTTCCAGCCTCTGAAAGCCTCTAATGTGCTTTCTCTCTTTGGGTTAATGTCTTTTCTGGATAGTTCATTTAACGAAGTCATACAATGTGTTGCTCTTTTGTGCCTGAAGCTTTGAGAAAAGTTCACCCATGTTGTACTGTGTATCAATGCTTCCTTCATTTTGGGTCCGCAGAACATCATGTAGCTCTTCCTCAACTGATGGACCTTTGAGTTGTTTCTGCCATTTGGCAGTGGTCAATAGGCTGCTTTGAACGTTCATATTTGCAGGCTTCCTTTGGACAGGGTGCTGCTGCCCCTGTGGGCTGTCGGTAATTCTCCATTTAAGTTTTTGAGGACTCTGCAGTTTACTCTTGAGTGAAGCTAAATGGCTCCTGCTAGTTATTTGTAAGGGTCATGTAATGTTGCTTTATGCTGTAATATCAGACTTGACTATTAGGATTCTTGGTAAACAGGAAGTGGCGTTAAGCTTGTATTTTTCTCAATGTTAAGATGTATCACTCTTAATGCTTTTCTCTGTGAATATAGCTAACATCTGTTAGACTTTTCCCTATGTTTTAGGCATTGTTTTGAGTGCTCATTTAATAAAACAATGTCTGAGGGAGGAGGAGTTTATTATGGAGCCTCTTTTTTTAAGATGGAGAAATAGGCTGAGATTATGTAACCTGCTCAACTAAAGCGGCAGAAGCAATACTGACTCCAGAGCCCATGCTTGTAACCATTTGCTCCTCAGCCCTGATTCTCTCCATTGGTTGTCAATGTCTGGCTTGCCTTGTCTTCTCTTCTGCAACACTGTAGTCATGAAGGCATCCCCAGAAGGTGCCAAATGGCCTTGGTGTGCTTGTTACAGGTTCCATGCCTTTGCAGTGGTGCGTCATGTTTGCTGTGCAGTTGCTGTCCCAACTGTAAGAATTCCACACTGACCCGCCTCATCTACGCTCTTATTCTTATCCTGGGCACTGCTCTGTCCTTTATCATGCAAGTTGATGGTGTAGAAACTCAGCTGAAAAAGGTAAGTAGAAGTCACAGTACTTTTAATGTACTGGCTATTTTTACTTATATTTTGCAAGATTTTAGTTGTAGTTGATGGTATTTATCTTTCCTGTGATGGTACTTAATTAAGCTTATTGTAACTGTTGGGCTTTTGGATTACTTTTGGGTATAGTCAATACATAGAATATGAAGGAATTATTCCTTTTCCCGAAATAAAGACAGTCAAAATGATTATCTTTAGATACTAGTCCAATAGCTGATACCAGAGAAATGAGTATTGCATATCAAAACAGGTGTCAAGAATGGTCCTAAAACCTTTTCTTTCGTTGTGTATTTAAAAAGGAAAACATTTAAACTAGACTAACCCTTTAGCTTTAGAAGGTGTGAGATGTAGCATAAAAATTCACAGAAAAGTGGGAAAGATAACTTCATTCACAGAAAAGAGCAGCAAGAGAGCACTTCACTTTTATCTTTAAATGCATATTCTGTTTGATGAAAAAATTATTAGTGAGTTGGGAGGTGGAGAAAATCCCGTAGACCAGTAAACCAGTCTTGCAGTTGTTCAAGTAGTCAGTTTTATACATCTAGATGTTCCTGTGGTGGAATAAAACCTGTTTTGAATGTGGATATTCCCATAGTATTGAAATTACTTTTCCAGATTCCTGGATTCTGTGAAGGGGGATTTAAAGTCAAGGCGACTGATATAAAGGTGAATAAAGATTGCGATGTCCTGGTCGGTTACAAGGCTGTGTATCGGATCTACTTTGCCTTGGCCATCTATTTCTTTGCCTTCTCTCTGCTCATGTTGAAAGTAAAATCCAGCAAAGATCCCAGAGCAGCAATACACAATGGGTATGTTAAGATTTATGTATTTGTCTTGTTAGATTGTGGGCCCTCCCCTTCAGCAATCAGGTTGCTATTCTGATGGGAGCAGTGGGGTGTGAATCAGTGACCCAGATGTACTTGTGACCGTTACCCCTCTGAAGTTGGCTCAGCAGCAGTTCCAATGGAACCCCAAGGTTGGGATGAGTGTCTTGTCTTCCCACTGCTGACCACCAGCTCCCTCGTTACCTTCATTTCTTATCGACACTGGAAGGCTAGAGAGAATTTCATCAGCTTTCTGTGTATCATAACCCCCTTTTACAGATTCAGTAACTGAATTTCATAGAGGTTAAATAAATTGCCTGAGTGCGCTCAGCCCGTGAGAGTTGTGGCTAGGTTTGAAACTGACATCTGTCATTGGTAAGCCTGATTCTTTTCGCTCTGCCATGCAAGCACTTTTTAAAGATTATGGACTGAAACCATATTTGGCTGTGGCTTTCCCTTTGGTACACTCTGTGAATATAGGCCAGCCACTTCTGTCCTATGTGGTTACTCCCCCTCCCCACATCTAATAGTTAATTGCTTTATACTTAGCTATATTGCTAGTTTAGAAATTTAAGTTGTAGCGTTTTAGAAAAATTCCTCTTTAATGCTAAAAGGAGGACTCAGCAGTATTTCGCTCATTATGACTGAATTATTCTCTGTTATTTATTGTTTATCCTTAAATTATATGAAATATTAAATTAAATAGTTTTGTATCAAACGAATAATCCCAAACAATCATGTTGGAAACATTACTAGTACTTTGTTTTTGCATTTCAGAAGTAATCTTTCTCAGTATAAGGACAAAAATTAGCATTTCATAAATGTACTTTTGTATTTCAATAGATTTTGGTTCTTCAAAATTGCTGCCATTGTTGGTATCATGGTTGGATCTTTCTATATCCCTGGGGGCCATTTCACCACAGGTATGGCTCAGTATTGAGGGGGGCTAATTATAATATATACAGACTCTACAGACATTTGAGTTTGTACATTTTCATTTCTGATTTTGCATAAGTGGCAACTAAATGAAGTGGTATCGAGTTAATGACTTGGTAATGTTTGCTAATATTTTAATAGTTTTACATTTCACTTTGCAGTACTAAGTTAATTGGAAAGTTTGGAACTTGTGTGTTCTGTTCTCGTCTTAACCTGCTTCCTTAACATGCCACTGGTGACATCTGTAGATTTCCATTGGGGTTTTTTTTTTTTTTTTCTCCCTGTAAAGGAAAAGGTTATGGTACCATTAGGAATATCAGATCCTAGGCTCCCCTTGGCATAAACTGGAGCAAGTTTTAAAAGGTCCGAAGCCCAACAGAACTCCTCAGAGAATGCCGATAAGTTTAGAATTAGAATAATCTTGCTGTACTGCTGGAGACAGACTGTCTTCACCACCTCTCTGTTGCTTTAATTGAAATGTTTTTAGAATGTTGGACAATAGTAGCATTCTGAAATATTACTTGTATGGTAAAGAATAATTTTGTTCTTTTGATTTGTAGCCTGGTTTATTATCGGTATGGCAGGGGCCGCCATCTTCATCCTCATTCAGCTGGTGCTGTTGGTAGACTTAGCTCACTCTTGGAATGAATCATGGGTAAATCGAATGGAAGAAGGAAATCCAAGGTGCTGGTATGTTGGTAGGTATCTAAATTCACTTATGAGAGCCATACTACTATATATAAACAGGGAATATAATCAGATCTCCATTGCTTTGAAAGTACGAGTTTTCGGTGTAGAGTTGACTTTTCAAGACTGTAATAATCCAGTTGAGTTAGTTCTGAAGTATATGCATTACTGAGCTAGGCAGATACAGGTGACATAAATCACTGGATTCCCCCCAGTTCATTTATTTTTAGATTTGTGATATAACTATATATGTTTTGATAAAGGAAAATAGTTGTATTTCCGGATGTGGTTCTGGTTTTGATTACCTTGTTTCTATGGACAGGAGACTCATTTGGGTTCTTCATGTGTGTATATGCCCACATACTTCAGGCAGATTGGGAAGAAAAGACCTCACTGCTTTCTTCAGAGTGTGACTCCAAGCCCCTTGTAAAAGGTTTCCTGTAGGAAAGATTACTTGACATTTCCGTTTTGGAAGTAGAATTTACAGTCCAAAAATGGGGCGGAGGTACAGGAGGACCCTGTATTTATTAGAGGCAATGACCTGGGCAGACCTCATTTTTAAACATAGTAGTTGTTGAGATTCCTTGTCCCTGTTACCCCCCATTACAGAAGTAATAGGTGCTGTGTGTCAAGAACTTGAAAAACCAGAAATTACAAGCACATTCTCCCATAATCCAACCCTAATTATTACTATTAATATTAGTCTGTATTCGTGCAGTTGTATATATGTATACATCTATGTATTTTTATATAGAAAAGCAAATTGTTGAAAAATATTTGTAATATGTTTGTGTTTTATAAATGTGTTATACAAGTAGTTTACATTTTAATTTTTTTAAACTTACAAATTGTGAACAATGTCTGGTTATGCTTAATAATTTATCTTTGAGTCTATTTCTGATTATTTCCTTAGAATAAATAGAAGAGTCAAAGGGGATGAATATTTTAATTCACTTCAAATTGTCTAGATTTTTTTTTAGCTTATTTAGCTTAAATGGTCTAAGTTATTCAAAAAACTAAAGTTAAATGTACACCCTAAACACTTTAGTGATAGATGTATAAGAAATAAAACAAATAGATCTCCACCCTCCTGCAGCTCATTTTCCAGGTGTAACCGTTATTGAGCCTTTATATACGTAAGCACATACCTGTTTTTGTATTTAAACGTAAACAGATTCATACTATATATTGCTTTTTGACTTGTTCTTTTGACTGTATGACGATGTCTTTCCATACCAGTTATGTGTACATGATGCCCTACTTTGTACAGCCCCGAGGTGTTCTGTATCAGGGTATGCTGTAATGAATTAACCTTTGCCCTGTTTTTGGCCACTTAAACTGTTTAAATTTATTTTGTGCTTTACTGATTTACTTCTATGATTCATTTTGGATCACTCAGCTCTAGAATAATTTAATACTGAGTTGCAGATTGACCATTCTTTCGGAGTACTAAAACTAGAGAAATTATGTATATGCAGATGGAAAAAAATAGGAATTATAGAGTAACATAGTAGACATTGTTTACTTGTAAACATGCAAAATAATTGAGATTAAGATAAATAGAAATGAATTTTCTCAAAAAAGCCACTGCTTTGAATTAAACACAAGTTAATTGAGTTCAACATAACTACAATTAGTTGAGTAATTGTGTGTGCTATTTCATGTTTTCTACTTTTCAGAGTTATGCAATTAATTGTTGATTGTTCTTATGAAAAGATATTTGAAAATAGCAAATGAGGCACTTTCCCACAATCCCGTGGCCTTATTGTTTGTGGCAGGAAATAGGTTTATGTAGCCAGCAGCTGTAGAGGAAAAGCTTTCATCAGAAAGAGGCTGGTAATGTTTTCTATTCATACCAACATACTTGCTGTGAACTGGGCCACTTGAGAGCCCAGGAATCTCCTAGTTCCTAAGAAAAGCTTATAATGTACAATAGTTAGCACATAACTAAGAGTTTACAGTAGCTAGGTTGGCCAAATACCTGGTTTTCCAAACCATGACAAGCCAGAGCTAACGCTTGAGCTAGAGCAAATACCAAAGCTAGCGAGAATTCAGTAGCGTGGTGAAGTTTGGAATTTAACACCTACCCAGCTGTAGTGGAAACATCACTCTTAGGACTTTCGTAACTTCACTGTAGATTATTGACCCCCATCAACGTCAAATAATACCTGGAAATGATATATTACATGGAAATAATTTATGGAGTAGACGTTTGCTATAATTATGGATGTTCATATTGATTTCCTTTTTTCTAGGTTTACTGTCTATCACAAGCTTGTTTTATATCCTGTCAATCATCTTGGCGGTGCTGCTCTACACGTTCTTCACCAGATCAGATGGCTGCACAGAAAACAAGTTCTTCATCAGCATTAACCTGATCCTTTGCGTTGTGGTTTCTGTTATATCAGTCCATCCCAAAATTCAGGTATCGTTTTTTGTTGCTGCTTGTGAAAAACTTTCAGTTAATATTTAGTTTGAAACTTAGGTAATCTTTTATATGAATTTATGTCCAAGTTTACCTACTTAATTTTTTTCCATGTTATGGTAAAGTTTTCCATTTTTATAACGTCATAACTATAAAATGTGTCATTGGGGTCCTCTATCATCATTAAATGAACTTTTTTTCCTCTTTAAAAAACTAACTTGAAAATTTATAGTTCTTACAACATTGTTTACATTGTGAGTCTTAGAAATCACTGGCTAAGCTATTTTCAGGAAATTAAGCTAGACAAAAATAATTGATTTTAGTATATTTAAAAATGAAACCCACACTCTGAGTTTTATCATTTAAAATACTGTATTTTTAAAAGTTCATGGAGTTTTAGATATAAATGTTGGCAAAGCTAGGCTTAAAGACTCCGTTATATCAAAGGGCTAAGAAATTAAAGCCTTTGTGTGAGAGTCAGGAATATTCAGATTATGAAGTGCCTTGAGAAGTAATAATAACATATTTCTTCTTTACTGAGTCTTTGCAAGCTAACTCAAAGGAAGGCAGCTTGTCTTCCTTTCAACTGTCAAAGTGGAGTAGACAGTTCTCAGTAACAGCTCAGTGGGCGCTAGGGACCAACACGAAACTTTAGAATCAGCCCTTTCAACTCCAGTGGCATTGTTTTCCTGTTAACTCCGTAGGAGCACCAGCCCCGTTCTGGCCTTCTCCAGTCTTCCATCATCACCCTCTACACCATGTACCTCACGTGGTCAGCCATCGCCAACGAGCCTGGTATGGAATGTCATTACCATATTTATTTGCTGAAACGAAAGCTGGAGATAACTCCTTGGTGGGAGCAAACACTAGAGCTAATAAGCACAAATGTCCAGCAAAAATTTCACTTCATTGTTCACTGTGTTTGTAGATGTTTTACCTTTTCAAGCTCTGGTCCCCATAGCTATGTATAAAATCCTTTAGCTAATCTAGGCTTTTGCTTGGACTAGATCAAACTAGTTAAGGACTGAACAGATACATTATTTTGACCTTTTGTGTTTTAATTTACTTTGTTCTGATAGGCTAAACAGAAAATAGCTAAGGAAAATCTCCTTTTGTAGTTACAGAATTATATCTCGATAGGGTGTTCTATGGACTTTTTTTTTTTTTTTTAAAGATTTATTTATTCGTAGAGAACTGCGGTACAGGCCAGAGATGCGGAGGGTGAGAGGACTCACCAGAGACAGAGCGGGGTACAGAACAGGCAGATCGACAAAGTACACTGCTGAGGGGAGCAGCGGGCGGGTCAGGAGAGGTCTGCCGCGCCATGTGGTCACCTCGGGGCAGGCGGGGATCGAACTCATGCGGAAGTGGCTTAAGCTTCTTAGTGCAGTGCTTTAACCCGCTGCGCCACCAAGGAGGGCCCTCTATGGACTCCTTTTAAAGGAGAAAGCAATCAATGCAGACGCTCCTGTGAAGCATCTCATGTTTATTGTATGCCTGTGTGAGGTTAAAACTTCTTGGGCTTAAACCCTTTGCACAACTATACAACTATAGAACCTAAGAGATTTGCCATTTGAACTTCAAAACCAGTAAAATCAAGACCGACATGAAATCTGACAGACTTTTGTTGTTATTGTTTCTGTTTCTAAACCTTAGTGCTGTTCTTAGTTACAACACAAATATGTTACTGACTGCTAACTTCAAGTTCTTTTCAGTCAGAATTCCCATGTTTCGCATTATCCTGAAAAATCCTTTCTTGGTGTAAGATATAATAGGATAATAATAAAACACTTCCCATTTTCAGATCGTTCCTGTAACCCTGGCCTGATGGCCATCATTGCACAAATCACTGCCCCAACCTTGGCTCCTGGAAATACCACAGCTGTCGCCCCTACCATTACTCCACCTTCAAGGAATGGGCCTTCTCTGGATAAAGAGAATTTTATCGGGCTGATAATCTTTGTTCTCTGTCTTTTATATTCTAGGTAAGTTAAAAAATGTACTTATGCCAAAATTCTTAAGAAGGTTAATCAGAATGAAGATGCTATTTTGCTTTCAAAAAGTAATATGAGGAATTAAAAAAACCTACTTCTCTTTAGTGAAAGTTTTTCACTTGCCTTAGTTACCTTGCTAGTGCATTTCAGTTGCCTAGTTACTTAGCCATGTACATTTCTTCAAGTTTCATAAATCCTCTTCCTCATATAATTCCTTTCATCCTAACAAAAAGATATCTTCATTTTTGTTTAGAAAGATAAGTCCTCCCTCAACCAACTAGAATGATGATTAAAACTTGGTTAGCTTACATTTTTTCAAAAGTTCTTTATTTCCCAGTTACTATGAGTCATATTTAAACTACTACAGAATTATATATGTTATAAATTTGAGTTAATCCAAGTCTCCAAGCTGTAGAACCTGTGTTAGCAAGTTATTCTCATCCTCACACTCAATTTTTATTGTTATTTTCAGTATAATAGTGTATATTGCCACAACTTGAAATTGTGAAATAACTAGTAAAAGTGGGCAGGGATATATTTATAAACATACAACTTCATTGGTTAACATTTGGGTACACATTATTTCAGGCTTTTTTTCCTTTGCTTGTATTTATTGGCTGTCAGTCTATCTGTATAAACAGAGGTAATTTTAGATATAATTATACATAGTTACATACATTTATTTATATCATTTGTTACATAATTTTAATAAATTAAGACATACTCTATAAATACTATCCTCAAATACAAATTTGTCATTGTAACTTGGACCCCTTCCACACCGTGTGTTTTTTCTTAGTGATTGCTTAATGTAAGGATTGGCAAGCTATAACTCTTGGCTGTAGTTTATCGCTGGCTGCCAGTTTTTTAAATATAATTTTATCGGAACACATACCCATTTGTTTTCATATCGTCTGTGACTATATTGTTTATTTTGCAGTATGATTTACAAACCCTAAGTTCGATGCTTTGAAGAGTATACATTTCAGTAGATGTTTAGTATATTCAGAGTTGTACAACTATCACAACAGTCAGTTTCGTATTTCATTTCCCCAGAATGAGACTCCAAATTGTTAGCCTGCACTTCCCACCCACCCACCACACTAATCTCCTTTTTGTGTCTGTAGATTTCCTTATTCAGACATATCATATAGAAGGAGCCACATAATGTCTGGTCTCTGGTGACTGGCTTCTTTCACTGAATGTGTTTTCAAGGATCATCCAAGTTGTCGCCTCAATCAGTACCTCATTCCTTTTTGTTATTAGGATACATACATACAGCTGCACAGTTTGTTCATTCATTTATCAGTTGATGGACATTTGGATTGCTTACACTATGACGCTTTCATGAGTAATGCTCCTGTGATATCTGCACATAAGATTTTTTGCGTTTGCGAACGTACGTCTTCTGCTCTGCTGGGTATATTTGCCTTGGAGTGGAATCGATGGGTTATAGAACAGTACTTCTATGTTTACCTTTTTGAGGAAGTGCTGGTGTGTTTCCAAAATGCCCGCATTACCTTACAGTCAAGTTGTCGTTTTGATTGTAACCATTCTGGAGGATGGAAAGAGGAATTTCATTGTGGTTTGGATATCACTGATATGTTGGATATTTTTTCATGTGATTATTGACTATTCATATACAGTCTTCCTTGGAGAAGTATACATTTAAATCTTTTGCCTTTTTTCACTGGGATATTTGTCTTTTGGGGGTTTTTTGTATATGGTTTGAGATAAGGGGCCATCTTTATTCTTTTGTATTCGGCTATCCAGTTTTTCTCAGCACCATTTATAGAAAAGACTGTTCTTTCCCCCATTTAGTTGTCCTGTACCCTTGTCAAAAATCTGTTGACCATAAATGTAATGATTTTTTTCTGTACTCTTTTTAAAGATTTATTTATTTATACATACAGGAACTGCGGTACAGGCCAGAGGTGCAGGGGTGAGAGGATTCACTAGAAACAAAGTGGGGAACCGATTGACCAAAATGCACTGCTGAGAGGAGCAGCAGGCGGGTCAGGAGAGGTCTCCTGCGCTCTGTGGGCCTGCTCCCTGGCTGGGGATTGAACTCGTGCTGCAGTGGCTGGGGACAGCTTCTTAGTGCTGCGCTTTAACCCGCTGTGCCATCAGGGAGGGCCCTGTATTCTTTATTTTCTTGATCTCTGTGTCTCCTCTTATGCCAGTACCATGTCTTGATTACTGTAGCTTTGTATTATATTTTGAAAGTGGGAAATAGGAGTTATACATATTGTTTCTTTATAAGAGTGTTTTGGCTATTCTAAATCCCTTGTATTTCCATGTGAATTTGGGTTCAGCTTGTCAGTTTCTGCCAAGTAACTGGGGTTTTGATAGTGCTTTGAATTTGTAAATCAACTTGGAGAGTATTATCTCAGCCTGTGAACATAGAATGTCTCCTTTAGGTCTAACTTCTTTCAGTGTTTATCGTTATTAGTGTATCAGTCTTAAGCTGCTGCTGTTCAATTTCAGTATTTTATTTTTCATGGTACTGTAAGTGAGATTGTTTTCTTAATTTAACATTTAGATACTGTTATATAGAATAGAGATAATTTTTGTATATTAATCTTCTGTCCTGCAAGATTGCTTGTTGATTCTGTGTGTGGTGTGTGCTGTGTGCGCATGCACTCCTTGCGATTTTCTTTGTACAAGGTCAGGTCATCTACAAATTGAGCTCATTTTACTTCTTTGCCAGTCCAGATGCCTTTTCTCTTCTTTTTACCTAATTACTCTTGCTTGAATTTCCAGTACAGTGCTGACTAGAAATGGTGAATGTGGAATATTCCCCTTGTTCCTGATCTTAAGGGGAAAGCTTTTAATCTTTTATGATTAGTAATAATGCTAACTAAAGAGGGCTAATCATAGATGCCATCTATCAGTTTGAAGAAGTTCCCCTTTCTGCCTAGTTTGAGTGTTTTTATCATGAGACAATATTAGATTTTGTCAACTGCTTTTTCTGTATCTATTGAGATGATCATGTGGCTATTTTCCATTATTTCTATGTGCTTTATTTGTATTCAGTCACTTACAAATTTTTAGTGCATCTTTGCTCTGTGGTAGAAATGAATAAATGACTAAGGTTCTTGTTGCCAGGGAGTTCTTTGAGTAGTCAGAAAGATGGAAATAATTAGTACACTGACAGGGAAGCATTAGCAGCTCTGGCTTACTGGTAGGGCAATGTCAGGGAGGCTTTCTAGAGGACATGACATGTAGACAGTTGAAAGATGAGTAGGTTAGCTGAGTGAAGATTGGTGGGTGGTACGTTCTAAGCGTAGAAGAGGCAGTTGTGAAGTCTTGAAGCAGACCTTGACAGCTTCGTGTGTTTAGGGAAACTCCTACATAGTTAAACCATCAAGTTGTAACTGAGGAGAGTATTGTCTGTCTTGTGATGACAGGCAGCAGTTCAGAACTGTTAAGCAGGGACTTTCAGAAGGTTTTCAGTCCTCACAGCTGGAGCCGTTTAACAATAACCTTCATGTGTGTCTGTCCATGGCAGCTTTTCAGTTTCATGGCTCCTTTCTGATGTGTTCTTTTTGGGATTTCTCTCCAGCATCCGCACTTCCAGCAATAGCCAGGTAAATAAGCTAACCCTGTCGGGAAGTGACAGCGTCATCCTCAATGAAACAGCTAGTGGTGGTGCTGGCGATGAGGAAGATGGGCACCCTCGCCGGGCGCTGGACAACGAGAAGGAGGCAGTGCAGTACAGCTACTCCTTATTCCACTTCATGCTCTGCTTGGCTTCCTTGTACATCATGATGACCCTGACCAACTGGTATAGGTAGGTGCCCCATCAGAACACAGGGAGACACTGAAGCCCTCTGCTCTGCCTGTAAAACCTCCAGTCATTGTCTTGGCCTCAGAATATCCCCTTTTCTTACCTATACTATGAAGCCATGGTCAGTGCTGACTCTTCTGAAGTACTCTGAACATTTTCTTTTCTTGGATTTAATCCTGGAATTCTTGCAGTACGTATCACAGGCAGTCTCTCATGCCCAAATTAACTTGAGAGAGGAAATCGTGACATAATGATCATGACATAAACAAAACCATCTGATCTGTCTTTGTCCACTAGTTTTCCTGTGAGATAGCCATCTAAAGTATTGTCCAAAGTAAAGATGTGGTAAGGAAAGAAAGTTTCAGGCCATTTTGGTCAAGACTTTTACCAGTTATTTAGAACAGCCAGATGTTCCTGAAGATCTTTGCCCAAGAAATAGAGTTCTCTGTTGACCAAAAGATAAAAATCATTTGAGCTGCAAAGTCCCTTGCTTATAAAAACTAAAAATAATGTTCACAAGTTCTTCTAGAACCTTGGTAGGGAGCAATCAATGTCAGCCATTTTCACTAAAGAATGTCTTGGCTTTGGCTGGGGTGCTGCTGGAGTCTAATGACAGCCTCTCTGACTGACTCCCGTTCTCTTAGCCCTGATGCACAGTTCCAGAGCATGACCAGCAAGTGGCCAGCGGTGTGGGTCAAGATCAGCTCCAGCTGGGTTTGCCTTCTCCTCTACGTCTGGACTCTGGTGGCTCCACTCGTCCTCACCAATCGAGACTTCAGCTGAGCCTCTAAGTGCCAAGGATACCTGTTCAATTCATAAACGTTTCCTTTGCCGAAAGCCCATATCCCTTCTACTTTTACTTTGACTAAAATATTAGGTGAATGCTTTGCAAATTTGACTATATACAAATTTGTGTAACAGGGCAAAATCGAATAATGCTTGATGCAGGATCTGAACTTTTCATTTATATGATTATTATGTTTATTTGAAAGACTATAGCGCAAAGGGAACATTTTTATGTTTTAAAGTGAACTACAGCTGTGCTGAAGAAAGCTCTTTATTAAGACCTGTAGGTTCCTATAACTTTGATTTTATTAAAATGTAAGAGAGAAAACCTGGATATTTGAAACCATTGTTAATATATTTCTATTGCAGTATCCTCTAAAAAAGAAAGCTTTTCTGTGGCATTTTCCCTCTATGAAAGTCTTGTGACGTAAGCACTGTGTCTAGTCCTTGAACTCTTAGGAGGGGGTAGCATTGTCGTATGGGGAGGAGGATGTGTGGGTCCTTCCTGAGGAGGGGGGCTGATCGGCCACTGCTGCTACATCTTGAGATTGATCATTTACTTTTTTACATTATAGCATTGAGGCTGCTTGATCCAAGTCTGTGCTTTACCAGAAATGTTAATTTTAGTTGCTTTATAGGTTTGGTTAAATTGAAGACACAAGAGTCACTGGGAAAACAGTGCAACTTTAGCCTTTGTAATTGTCTCGCTGTGAGTATGTAAGTGTAAAATGCATGTGAGCTTACTATATTTGCACTATAAAGGTATTTGATTAAAATAGAAAGACTTAAGCTTTTAAGACCCTTTCTTTTAACAGCTTTTATGAGTTCACAGCCTTTCTCTCTCTTTCAGACTTACACGGGCAGCTGGGTTTATCAAGCATGAAGCAGAATACATCTGTTCCTTTTAAAACTTAAGGTCTGACTAATGGGTGAAGTCTTGGAGTCACTCAAAAATTAAGCTGTCTTGTCTGGCTAAGACAGTTGGGTAGATAGAAAAGGAAACTTTCAGAAAGGCAGCACCAAGGACATTTAACAGAAGTTTGTTCTTCAGCAATGCCATAGTGAGCGTCTCATCTGTCTCCTGTACCATCAGGTCCCGGGAGACACTGAAACATGGCAGGCACTGGCTCAGAGGAGGATGAAGATGAGCTGAGAGGCGATACGGTGTGGTACATAATCAGTGCTGTGATTTAGGGATTGCAGAGAACTCAAAGGAGGGGTACTTGGGATATGGAGTTTGTCGTGCTAGACTTCTAGAAAAGTGTGACTAAGCCAGGAAGTGTTAGGGTTAGCTAAGAAATGGGGAGTGAGCCAGCACCGCTGAAGGTAGAGAACACTGTATACTGTCAAGAGTTTTAAGCAAGTGGTGGTGCTCAGCTAGCTGGAATGGAAGATGTGGTCAGGGACTATCATGGGGGCTTCATAAACCACACTAAAGAGTTTGGACCTTAGGAAGGACAACAGCAGTTAGCACATGGGGGTGTGAACAAATGTAGTGTCTGTAGCTACTGTGGTTGGTGTGCGAAGAGTGGGTTTAGGGAGATGCAACCAGGGGCAGTTCATCCAAGATTTCGAACTAGTGGCAGTGAGGTAAGGGAGAACCTGGCAGCTATTTTGTAATTAAATTGACAACTGGCTAGTTACAGGGGAGAGTTTGAATTGGCAATTGGTTAGTTATGGGGGTTCGTGAACAAAGTCAGCCTATAGCCTGGGAAGGTGGTAGCTCCCTTTAAATAGGTAAGAAACAGGAAAAAGGAACAAGTTGTGCCAGGGGAAGAGTGAAGGTGGTTCCTGAGAATGGCAAGGGCACAGGCGGACCTCAGACTGGACTCGTGTCCAGCTGAGCCATCTTCTGTCTGTAAAACTGGTCAGCTGAGAGATGCTGAGCCTCATGGCCTTGGGTAAGTGACCTCTGTGCTGGCCTGAGTCTTTTATTTGAACAATGAGCATCTGGTACTTAGGTTGTTTAAAGAGTGAGTTGCTTATGAAATGCTTAGCCCGTTGTAAGTACTCTATTTGTAACTGCTGGTCTCTGGGTGGGCTAAAATGAGATTAGGTGATATTCATAAGGTTCAAACAGAGTTTAAAGGGTAGGTTTGAGCTATCGTTGTAGAATTAAACAGGACCATCTCAGGTGGGGTGCAGGGAGGGGCAAGGAAGTGGGACTTGGGATGTGGTGTTGGAACTGCTGCCTTTTAAACCAGGGTTTATATCAGGGTGCAGAGATAAAGTTGCAAGGGACTTGGAAGCAGACAGGAAAGGTTTAACGCCTTCCTTTGCCAGTGTAAAGCCGGGCACTCTACTTTCCTGAAGTAAGGCCAGCCTTTTAAATGTCTGAAGCTTCAAAAATGTTACGATGTACCATCCCTTGAACCCCCATGTAATTCAAAGTAAGTGCTAAATACTAAATTGTATTTACAATACTAATGTAAAATAAGTGTAACAAAGGCCAATAAAGTTCTTATTTTTTCTCATGATAACTCTGATATTAATTTGGAATAACAAATTCTTAAAACTCGGGGGTAGTTGTGCTTTGCATAGTTGTACCCTAAGAAGAAGTTAAGTTGATCTGTTGGCTGGTAAATCAAGTAGTTTACTCAAGGCTCAAGTGACTTAGATGCCTGAATGCTGAATTGCAGACTTGCATGAATAATGTCAGTACTATTTAGTAAGCCAAGAATCACACTGTAATGTGGGGGAGTATTTTGAATCATCAGACCTCATGGTTTCCTGTCATTCCAGATGAGTCAGCTGGTGTGAACAGGCCTGTCTGTCCCCCAGGGTTGCAGATTGAGGGTCCTGGCTTTGAGGTCAGTATGCTCTAGCCATTCATCAAATGAATGGCAGTAGTGGCTGCCAGTGTCTCCTCGTATAGCCGGGGAAAGCTTGTCCTCAGGCTGGATGGATGTTGACTGTCAGGGTTGATCTTGCAAGGTACATGGTGGGTTAGGATGTAAAATTTCCCCTTGACAAGCAAAGATACTTCCAAAGAGTGACGCTGGCCATAAGTTTTCAGTGTTTTGATATTTTTGGCAAAACCATAACTCAGGTCAAATTTAAGCAAGGACTGGCCCAGTACAGGTCTTTGCTTGGTTGTATTTTTCTGTTGACACATTAAGGCTAAAGTGAGTATTCGGTAACAGGAGCCCTACATTTGCTCTTCGCAGGTTGGTGCCAGATACCAGGCTTATCCTTATCATGGGAGCTGCAGCCAGCTCTTTGTGTCGTCCGTCCAGCCTGTTACCTCACTGATGTCCCAGTTACCATTGGGTGACTCAAGCCACGACGCCTACGTCCTCAGGTGAAGAGTAGTTACCACATAAGTAGCTGCGAGTACCAAGCAGTAAATAGATACTGTCCCTAACCCAGGAGGTGGTGATTCCCGCCCCACGCCCACCCCTTTAGAGATCAGCTGAGAGGCACCAGGGCTTGAGTCAGACCCCACATCTGCTGGCCCATCAGCGCACGGAGGACAGTGGCAGCTAGAGACTGCTTCGGGTCTGGAGGAGCCGCTGCAGCTCCCTCGCTACAGGGATGTGCGTGATCCCCTGGGCAGCCGCTGCTTATTCCCAGCGTACTGGAGCCCCAGTCACTGGCACCTTGTCAGGTGAGAGAGTGAACGCTGAGTTAAAATGTTTTCCAGAAAAGTGACGTCCTAAAAGATTTCATTGCCAACTGTAGTGCAGGACCATGAACATTTGCTACGGAGCAAGGGGGCAGCTACCACGTTTCTGCTTGTTCGCAGAGCTGGCCTCATCTCTGCTGCTCTGTGTGGGCCTAGCCATCCTGTTAGCCAGGAGCCCAGGTCAGGCAGCCTGACAGTAACTGATCAGAGTGCCAGACCAGTCCTAACTGAGGAGAGCATGGGGAAAATCCAAGGCATTTTAGAAATACAGAAAATGCTGACCCTGAGCATGGAAAATACCTCCTGTGTCTTAGAAAGTGAGCCGCTGCTCATACGATAGGATTGGAGCCAGGAGTTCCATTTCCCAGACGTCAGAAACTGACTCCAGGCGTCCTCAGAGAAGGCTGCTGAGGAGCTGGGTGCGGCAGTGTAGTACTGACCTGCTGCATCAGCCCAGCCGGTGGTGGGTGCACAGAGCGTGTGCACGGACGTGCTCTCCCGGCCCATCACCCACACACCAACCCCACCCAGGGCACCTAGCTCGCCTTCTCCGGGACAGAGGGCATGCTCTGTGGAAGTGAATGAACAGGAGGCAGGCAGAGAAGCAGCTAGGCACACCTGGGCCAGAGCCGATGACGCCACACCCTAGCTGCCTCTCCAGGAGCTTGCTTTTATTTATGGGTGCTTCCAGAACAAAACGTTCAGTTAACAGCTGGGTCTTAGAAGATGATAAGTCTCATGTTTTCCAAGAAGCCAGAAAGCAAGCTTTTCAACAGACACTTTGTTACTCTAAAAAAAAAGTCTTCCCTCTGGGGTGAGGGGGGCTAGCAATAAGACAGGCACAGCCAAGCTCCAGCCATTGGAAGGAAATTGTGGGCTCCCATCAGACTGTCTGGCTTTGCATCTTGAACCCCAGCTCTACCACTTGACCAGCTGTGTCCTGGGGTATCTCCTTTTCTGTTCCTCACCAATAGCCCTATTTCATGAAGGGCGCTTAAAGATTAAATGAGATTATGTGTGTGAAGCACTTAATTGCTGCCCAGCCCTTAACAAGCACTCAGGTTGCTGGCCACGGCTGGGGAGGTTGCCAGGGGAAGTACCATGGTCCCCAAGATCTGCAAGTTTGCACAGTCTGCACCTAGGGCCACCTTCCCTACGGCCATCTTCGGGTGCACGCGACGTGCAGAGGCAGCCAGCTCTGCAGAATGCAGCAGCCACCATGCCCTCTGCGCACCTGAAAGGCTTCATCCGGACAATCATGGACTGTGGACAATAAAATCTTTATCCAGTTGTCACCATCACAGAAAAGTCACACACTCGATCTTACAGGACTTTTTATTAAGACCCAGTCATGCATACTAAAATTACATGTTTTCACCACTTTGACTTAGAAAATGCACTAGAAAAATAAAACTTTTGGTCAAAACAAACACTGAAGTCGATGAATCCATCACCAAGTGTCCCTTCGCCCAAAGTCAAACTGAATTTCAGTTTGAAGCAAGGAATGTGGCTGAGAGGGTGCTTGATCTGATCAGATTAGCTCTGCGCCGCCCCCCCCTCCACCCCCCAACCTGGAAGAGGGATGTCAGAGGCTCCTGGACCCGGAGAGGTTGCAAGTATTTCACTTGTAACAGGTTCTCACCGATGCCAAGAGACGGAGGCACAGTCCCAAGAATCCCCAGGGGCAGCAGCCTCCTGTCCCACTAAACACGCTGCCCAGTGAGATGAAGCACAGCTAACTGGCCAACGGTAAAACTCCACTGCCCTCTCCATCCCCAAGTCGCACAGGGCCACCCGTGAAGCAAAGACCGACTGAGGAGTAACTGATGAGAGCTGCAGCTCACAGCTCAAGCAGACTACTGTGGATGGTCGGCAGAGAAGAGAATTTTGATTATGCAGGGAGAACTTTCCTGGAACTGGCATCTTTCCTAGCAGTGGATAGGTTTGGTATCAGTCTGGTAGCTTCCGATTTCCCATGCTGTTAGGAGTTAGGCTGGGGAGCAGTGACTAGGATAATTGATGGCAGGAAGAGTCAGCTATAACCAGGACACCAGGAAACACCTGCAGGGGCTGACAGAACCACCCCGTGCGCCTGCGTGATGAGGGCCGGCTGGCCCCCGCCCTGCCAGACATCCGCCCTCATATCCCCTGATTGCCAGATAAGGACCAGAGCATGGACCCAGATTGATGGTCCCAGAGGAGGCCGGGGGAGTGGCACCCCATTTAGACCAAAAAATTCCTTCTCCTGTCAGCACTGTGGTTCTGTGGACGCCCCCTCCAACCCCCTCCCGAGTGTACTGCTGCTCAATAAACTGCAGCTTTGCTTCACCTGCACGTGGCTTTGAATTCTGCTGGCCATAGCCAAGAACCAAGGGCCTCTCAAACCATTAACAATGCCACAGGATGGGGATCATTGGCTTGGCTAGCATTGTACTTCCTGGATGAAAGAAGATTCCAAAGGAAAAAACCTCAACAGCTGAAAACTTTAAAATGAGGTATTATGGTAATGCCACAATGGGACCATAGCTTTTGCTTACCCACGTGGAAAGTAATCCCACACAGATCTGAAAACCAGATGACGTTTCGAGAAACTGTCTACCCAGGGAGAATTCTAAAATGCTCAAGAAACCACAGGAGTTCAGGGAAAACATTCATTGGCCTGACTCTTGTTTCTGGCAGAAACTTATGAGCTGAAGTGTTTGCAAATCTGAGGGCGGTGGTTCCAGGTGAGCGCGGGAAGAACAAGGCAGCCCAAAGCCCAGTTCACCCAGGCAGAGGAGGGACTCAAGGTGTGGGGAAGGGCCACACTGTGGCTGGCTGTAGATTTCCTCCAGCCTCTTCCCAGGAAGGTAGGATTCCAGAAAGAGGGAGAGGAAGCTCCCCCAGGTTACAGATTCTGACAGACTGGAAGCTCTAGGGAACAAGTCCAGACATTTCCTAAAGAATAGCTCAGATCGGGGAGAACAAGCAAGACGCCTCAGACGGTACAGCACAGCCATGTAGGCACTGGCAACCCTGTCTCGTGAGGACTGGGGTGTTCAGCGGCCCACCGCGGCCACAAGGAAGCCTGGACACCAGGTCTCCTGTCCCTCCTCCTGCCTTTCCTGTGCGACATCACCCTGAAAATAGGGAAAGCTCTCTGGCAGGTGTTTGTGACATGGGCCAGGCCTCTTCCCTGGAGGGAGACGCGCCAGTCCTCCCCTCCCTCACGTATTTGCTCTGCCTGTGTCCCCACTATTGGGCACAGCTCACTGGGTGCTTCCTTTGATCATTGTACCCCCACCCAGCTGGGCCCACCTGATACGTGGCTTCAAGCCACAAGAGGCAGGCTTGATGGTCACCCCAGGGGTTCCTGCTTTCACAGCTTGGTTCACCTTGGGTGACACAACTGTTTGATCAACTGACATCAAAACAGCGCAGCAGCTCCAGGCGACGGCGTTGCCTGCCTCCTTTCAAAGCAGGATGAAATGGCTTCTCGGTCCCACTGGAAAGGCCTGGGGAGCAGGCAACATCCTGGCCTTTGTGGTAATTCTCTAGGCCAGCTCAGCCTTCCCCTCAAATTTTGAGTCACAAAGGCCCCTGGCCAGGAATGCCATGGAGTGCCTGGGCCTCAGGAGCTTGGTGGGGCTAAGCAGTTTGCGCCCCTCGGTCTAGCTTTTGTTCAGCTTTTTTACAGTGTCTTCCCCTGGGGACCTATGAAAGCTTCTAACCAGTCTCTCGAGCAGGCAGCCGGGTTTGGAGCCCTCTCCCGTGGCACCTGCTGGTCCCGTTCAGACCCTTCGGGAGCACAGACGCCACCATCGTGCCAGACGGAACGAGAGGCAGCCAGCTCCTGGGCACGTCCAGCTCAGCCAGGGTCAGTCTGCTGGAAGAACCCTCCCAAGACTTGGCACTAATGAGGTGAGTTCTACCACCACACCTCCAGGCAGTTTAAAAGCGCTGTAATGATGAGCAGCTGTCTCGGAACACGCCGGCCTTGGAACGCCAGAGGGCCGCTCTCTTCCGTGCTGAGGTGTCCGCCCCCCGGGGAGTCTGACAGAGGCATGGAGGATGCACACGGCACACAGCACCTGTAACTCTTTAACACCATCACCTACAGCAATGAATATGACAGGAAATAGCTCAAAGACCATCAGAGAACTACCGACTGGGATGTTGGGGCTAAGGCTAGATTCTTGACAGGAAGGGTCTAAAGTGCAGAAATGCAGAACTAACATTCAGTCTGGCTGCAAACACCACGGGACCTGGGAGGGCAGGCGTCCCAGGAGTGACCAGCAATAACCTGCTCTTGCGCTCATTTCCAGAGACCAGAATTTAAGAATCCAAAATAATTTAACCATTCCCTGTTGGCCAGGTCTACAGTATACCACTAGTCTTGGGAGGGGAGGAATTCATACAGGATCCTGGTCATCCACCTGCCCTCACAAGTCACTCTGTTCAAGTTTAAGCCTCATGACAACCCTCTGTGTAGCACTGGGTCCCAGGGATCACACACGACTTTCTTTAAAGGCAGAGCCAGATAGTGACCTGCCCTTAGAAAGGCCCAGCTGCCACAAAGCTAGAACCCAGCCACGCGCATCCAGCAGGTGACCTTGCTTGGCGAGAGCCAGTGTTGAGCATTCGGTCACTAACCCTAACCAATCCTGCACCCGAGCGGCCAAAAAGGCCCGGGCGTCATTTCACGCCCCAGACTCCTTTTACACACCAGAAAGCTGTGGTCCAGCGGTGCATCTTGTCCACCCCTGGGGCTGAAGGCCCCTGAGTTCTTGTGCCAGATTTCTTTCATGTGGGCCTGGCACCCAGAATGTTAGGCTAAGTAAATCACATACTTCTAGGATCCTGTATGATTCTATTGAGAACCAGGGCTAAGGCTTTATGGGCTTGGGAAAACTTCAGTTTCTATTGCAAAATTCAACCAATGAATCCCAGAGATGCTTTGAGGTCTCTGACGCCCAGCTTTCATCAGGGAGCACTGCTGACATCCCGACATTAGCCCGAATCATTAAGGTGCTTTCCGAACCCCCAAGTGGTGGCAACTGGGGCCCGGCCTTGATTTTTCCAGATCAGCACCAGAGGTCGAGTTAGGGCTCATGTCAGACACCCTCTCAGTCTTGCATGTGGCCATCTAGTTTCAGGGGAATGTGCTAAACCACCAATCGGTATTTTCTCCTAAAATGTAGGATCGACAAAGCCTGGGTGCTGATTTTTCTTGTGTTAGGATACGTAAGAAACAAATACAGTTTCCAGATTAACAGATGCAAACTGGGATCCCACGTGTTTGCGAGGCATTGGGTACGTTTTCCACATCTCCCAAAGAGTAATCCGAGTGGCTGTGGCTCACCTGGCGGCTCCCTCAGCGCTTACGAGGCCTCTCAAGCTGCCGTTCCACTATGAGGAGCAAGACAGACTCCATGGCACCTAAGTTCTCCCTGTGCATCTCCAAAGAAACAAGGAAGGATTCAAAGGCGGTGGCCCGCCCCAGCGACTAGTAGCAGGAGTACAGCTGCGATTTCACGGCCCGCAGGGAGTCCTCGCACTGGGCCTCGGAGGCCAGTCCCTCGGGCAGCAGGGCCTGGCCCAGGATGCTGTCGCAGGCAGGCACCGGCTGGCAGAACTCTCTCACGAAGGCCTCCTCCGAGGCCAGCAGCACTGCATTCCAGGAGGCGATGTCCAGTTCTCCTGCTGTGCCCCCGTACTCCTTGGGGAGAATGCTTCTCGGGAGGCTCGTGTGGAGAGAGTTCAGGTCAGACCCATGGAGGAAAAACTAAGGGGAAGTGAAATGGAAACACATGCGGTCTTGGGTGGAGCACTCAGTGACTGCCTCGTGGCAGATGCTGAAATAAGGATCTGTGGAATGAATACGGAAAGCCGGCGACACTGCCTGCCAGCAACTAGAAAAGCTCGTGCAGCCTTCCTCCTCATCGCCTCACCCCCCTGACCTGCCGGCTGGCCCTTCAGAGTCTATCCAGAATCCAGCTGCACTGCTGCCACCGCTCCTCACTTGCATGCCCCCGACAGCCTACCTGGTCCTCCCTGCTCCCAGTCACGTCCCACTGCAGAGGAGGTCAGTCATGTCACTCTGCGCATACAGCCTTCCTGTGCCCCCATCTCACCCAGACTAAAAACCCAAATCTACACAAAGACCTGCCAGTTTGCCTCCCTTCCTGTCTGCGGCTCCTCCAGCATGCCAGGCACGCTCGGGTCATGCCATCGCTCACCCCGGATCCGTAAGGCTTTCCCTGCGTTGCTGCGCTCAGTATCCCCGTTCTCTGCCTCACTTTTTCCCCACAGCACTTATCACCGTGTATCTAAGTGCTAGATAATATACCTAGTCATTGCCTGTGTTTCTAGAAGATTCCTGGTGGGAGACATGTTGGTCTGTTCTCTTCGACTGCAGCACACCTGTACACAGTAGTTGATCAACCCGCACAGGGACAAATGGACAACACAGGCCACACGTAAGATCCTTTCACAGCCATAAAAGACCTGGCCCCAAGACTGCTTTCCTGAAAAGTTCCAAACAGGAGCTCCAGGAATCCACACGGTCAACTCCTGTCAGGAAGCTGCTACTCCTCAGCAGCCCTCACTTCTCACTGGGCATCAGAATCTCTGGAGCCTGAGAAAGTGCAGTTCCTGGACTGACACGTGCCCATCTTCACGGAAAGGGGCTGGGACTTGGGATCTAGATTTTAGTTGCTGCTCCCGTGACCTCAAGATTCTGTTTCCTCTTTGAAAATAAAAAATGTGAGACGCAGGTCCCGTACTGCCCAACTGGCCCCTAGGCCTAGCAGAGGAGACAAACAGCACCATCACACTTCAGCCCCGATTCTGGGAACGGAAGGTTCCAGAAGCAGCTCTCGAGGGGCAGAAGACTGCCTGTTAGAGCCGTCTTCCATCCTCAGGTCGGAGCTGAGCTGGGACCCACGGCTCAGAAACCCGGGCTGCTCCAGAGCAGCGCAGCCGGCCGCCAGCTGAAGGCTGGCACGTTACCCCGGAGCCGCAGCGAGAACGGCCTCAACTAGCTGCGCTGCTGCCGCCCCTGCCCCCACACAGACCACCGGCTCACAAAGTCCAGGCCAGGGGAGGGAAATCTAAATGACTTCAGAGCTGAGGCTCTAAGGATAAAAATCCTGGCTCCACCGTCTACCGCCACAGGGAAAAGAAACTCAAATCAGGCTTTGTCCTGTCCTCCCATCTGGCGTCCACGCCAGGCAGCTGCGGTCTCGCCTCCTCGCTGCAGCACGATGCCAGCGGCCTAAGGCGAGGGGGCAGGCCCTGAGTGTGGCCACCTGGGATGGGCCCGGCGTGCCTGAGGAAGGGCCGACACTGGAGGAAGCGGCCCGAAGGGCTCCTCAGCTCTGGGGAGGGCTGCGGCCCTGGGCGGGGCTCGGCTGTCCTCTCCCTGGCCGGTCCACGCTGAAGGCCTGCAAGGGGATGCCTGGCTCCCCAGTCTCCCCATCTGCGAGAATCGACAGTGGGCCTGCCCGGCCTGGAAGGGCGGCACAGCTGTCAGCTAGTTTTATGAATTTCATCCTCACAGAAAAGGTTGCGCATTCATTTTATCAGTAACCCTGTATTTTCCAAATTAGCAGTCACAGGATAAAAATAATGAACTACGTATACTGATAGTATAGTAAACTCACAGATGTCACCAAATCGCGGGAGAAAAATAATTTTATGTATCTTAAAGAGGATCATCACTTACTCTGTTTGCTATTTTCTCCTTCAGAAATGGTTTTATGATGGCAAAAATGCCTTTGAATATCCGAGGCTCATTCACTACGTGGACTGCTTTTATCCGAATGGGGAAACCATCCTGTGGAGGAAGGAGGGGGGGGTGTTACAATATGGGGCGCGCCCACGAGCTGCTGCTGCCACAGCCGGCCTCCCCTGCACTCATGCCCTTCGATTTACGTGCCCACATCAGCGGGGCTGGTTCTCGGGACCTCACAGACGGCCCAGGTGGGCACTGGAGGAGACAACCCGAGGGCAAGAGTTTCTTGGGACTCAGAACCTGGCTGGGGGGAAGAGCGGGGAGCGGCTGCTCCTGTGGAGAAGCCTTCGCAGAGCTTGTGAGGACGTGGGAAGGAAGCGCTGCGCCTCAGGCCTCCGGCCGCCGTGGGACTAAGCATGATGTGGGAAAGGGCCCATGGTCAGTCAGTAAGTTTGGGGAGCTGACTGACCACAGCAGAGGGGCCTCCGCAGCTTCAGCACTGCTCGGCCTGTCCCAGGCAGCCATGGCAGTGCAGCCAACAGAAAGGCGTGTAGCCCTGCAACTTGTTTTCTCCTGCATCATCTGCTAGAACTAGAAAATCACTGATCCAGCTTCATTATCTTCACACTAGAAGCTACACCGCGTTTACAACAGGCATCAAGGAAGCCGAGGAAAGCCAGCGTGTGGCTCAAGGCCATTATGAAATGGCTGGTAATGGCCAAAGGTGATGTTTAAATCCTCAGCAGGATGAACTATCGTGCAACTGAAGCTTTTGTGCCAGAAGCCAAAGTAGGGCCCCGCAGCCTGGGTGAGGACAGGGAGTCAGCCTGGTGGAGCCCTGGGACGCGCCAGTCCCGAGATGCTTTCCCCAACTTAAAAAGGAAAGCTCGTCCGGCCTTGTCTACCTCAGAGCCTGCTGTGGGGGACTGGTGGGTCCGCAAGCGACAACCACTGTGGGACACGTCGGGAACTTAGTGGTTCCCACAGGTTTGTGCTCTGAAACACAGGTGTGGAAACAGGGCTCCTGGCCCAGAGGGGAGGGCAGGAGGATGGTCTCTGGAAGCGGCACATCTTGGTTTTGTTTGGTGGAAAACTTCTCTGCCTCCGGGCGAAAAAAGAAAAGCATTTTCCTGGGTCTTGAAGAAGCTCATCCTGCCCAGCCTGAAGGCACCTCAAAAACTGCGGTTAACCCCAATGAGAATGAGATAAATGGGGCTTAAAATTTCCTCCCATTACAAAAAAAGAAAGAACAGTAACATTTCTTCCCATAGGTTTTGGTATTTTCCTGTCTGGGGGCATGGGGAGGGCTGCAGTCAACACACAGGGCCTGGGGAAGCCCACCCACCGCAGAACAGGCACTCGACAATGAGGGGCCATACCTGAAGGATGCCGATCACCTTTTTGGCTATAAAAGGGCCAAAATGAGATGCTTTTGATAAGCTCACTCCTTTGTAGTCGGCAAGAATTACAATTCCATTCACCTGGGTTTCTTCAGACTGAATGAGTTTTTCTAACGTCAAGTATATGGCTCGGATGTTTTCGGTAATTGGATAGCTGCTGGGTATCCATCTGTCTAAGGGGAGAAAGGACAGTGTGTTACCGAAAGGATGGACAGTGTGTGACAGAGGGATATAAACGAGTAATCAGGCTGAGTTCCCGCCTTGCCAAAACTGTTGTTTAAAAACGGCAAAGAAAAATAACCTACTGGCAAGACTCTAGATTGCTAAGTGGGCCCCTGAAGACACAGCTGTTGTTTCTAACTCCAGTCACAGCAGCACACTGGGAAAGGAAGGTGCAACTAAGCGCCGAGGCTCAAGACACACATTCTGAGGTCGGACACACCTGGCTCTTCCTGGCTGGGTGACCTGCCCACGCCCCCTCATAAACAGAATGGGATACTTACCTTAATGGACCCTTATCTTCAGAGCACCACCCTGACTTTCCTTGGAGGACCACCCTTAAAAGACGAGCATGTGATTTGGCAGAAGTAACCTGACTTGTGGCTCTAGAGTGGGCTGACTCGTCCAGGCCGGACACCCGCCCGGCCACTGTGTGATCCTCACCAGGTCAAGCAGAGCCAGGGGACACAGTTTGAGACCTTGGCCCTTCAACATGAGATGATCTCTCTTCCCCCTTGTAGCGGTGGGGCTGGGAGCCCAAGACTCAGAGGCCCTTGGGCAACGAGCTTGGCTGAGACTGTACTCAGGGCTGAGGACAGCAGAGGTGGAGATGGCACTGAGGCCTTTCTCTTACCGTGGAGTCTTTCTTTTGACTGCTAAAAGCATTCTCAAGAAATCTCACCAAGATCCATATGTTCCTTTCAGACACTTCACAACTGCAACCAGGGGAACATCTAACGTGAGCAAAACTTCCACAAAAGACTCCAAACATCGTGCTGGTTCGCTCTTTAATGTTGCTGCCAATTAACCAGCTTCTATGCCATTGCCGCCACCCTCTTCAATCACATACGTCTCAGAAGAGCCTGGCAAGGCAAAGCTAATACCCAGGTGAGAACAAAGCCTTGTGTGTTCACCTAAGAAGCCGCACTGGGGGCGGGCGGGGGGAGGCCCAGACTTGCTCCAGACACAAGGGCAAAGTTTCCATACAAACAGAGGGTTGGCACCACAGCAGCACAGGGGTGAGCCCAGTGTGCTAACAGTCCTGTTTTCTAAGTCTTACGAGTTGCACACAAGCAGGAAACCCACTGGTTTGTAGGCCTCTGGGCCCCCTAACACCCACTGCATTGCACGTTTTAGAGTAAACACCCCTTGTTTTGTACAGTGGCAGCTAAAGCGGCGCCCCTGCGCCACGGTGCCTTGTACACCCAATGCTCAGAATGGTTTGGCTCCCACGGAGCGTTTCAGGTAAGTGACTGAGGGAAACGGTGATGTGAGGCAGAGAGGGGGCCCACCCGGTTCCCTCCAGGAGGAGTCTGGGGCCTGAGCTTAAGAAGGCAGCCAGCATGCTCATTTCCTGGCTTGGCTGGGAAGAACGCTGCCATGTTACTCTCAAGTACCGTCAGGCCTGGCTGGAAGGTGTCGACGCTGGGGTGCAGTGAGCACTTCTGAGTCCGTGATGCGTTTGGGGTCAGGGAAGAGAACTGGATGAAGAATCGAAAGGTTCAGCCCTGGCTTGCCCTACTCCCACGCATGTTTGAAAGCTTTTTGGAGACAAGGATTGGAGCTTCTTCCAGCTGAATGCTAGTGTGTCGAAGAAGTCTGCTGACCT